GCCTGTTCCGCCGCGCCGGGGCCCCCAAACCCACATTTCGCCCGCCACAACCGCAGAGCCTCTGAGGGGCGGCCAGGAGCCAGTCTTCGCGGCTGCCACTGCGCGTCCCCTGGGCCTCGCTCATGGGGTCACCACGAGACACGTCCCGGGTGCCCACAGGACTGCGACGTCACGAGACATGCCCCGTCGTGCGGGGACTCCACGAGATCTGCCCCCAGTCCCCGCACGACGGGGACCCCATGCCCCAGGGTCCCCGACGACGAAGTCTCCCCAGAGCATACCCGGGGTGTTCATACGTCAGGGATACCACCTAACACAGGGCGCTCCACGCGCAAGGGCGCTGCGCAATGTCACCAAGCGATGGAGGATCCCAACACATGCCAAGACTGCAGCACCAGGGATTCCACAGCGTGACCTTGGGCCGTGCCCTGTGTGATGGCAGGGAGCACGGCCTGCCTGCCACCCAGTCATCCTGGCCACGCGGCCCGTGGCGGCGCTGCCCACCGTCCTGGTGCAGCCCCGTCTCCGCTCCGTCGGGCAGGAGCTTGGAACACACCCCTTCACGCAGGCAGCTGTGCGCTGGGCTCACCAGCCACTACCTCTCCCAGTCACCCACTGGCCAGTGGCCGCCAGGGCCAGTGTCAGGAACTTTGCCCTGGCATGTGGCAGGCCAGCAACTGGTGCGACCCTTACCCTGCCGCCTGCAGGGCTGGGGACTGCTTATGCATCTGTCAGTCAGCACCCAGCTTGTGGCCAGAATCGCCCGTCTTTCCCTCCGCACACTGGCAGCCCTGTGGGAGGGAGGCTAGCCAGAAAGGGCCAGGAGCGGGCTGCAGTGTGGCAGTGTGGCCCTGTGCGGAGGCAACATTCAGCAGAGGCCTGCGATGGGGACTCAGGGTCCAGGACAGCCCTGACCATGCTGAGGCTGAGGCCAAGGGACAGTCCCATTGAGCAAGCTAGTGGACTCTTTTTCCTGCTGGGCTCTGAGCTGGGGAAGTCCATGTCTACTTCCTGTCATAGAAGTGACCTTCAGTGTGTGACCTGCTGTTCCTCACCCCTTGGTGGAGGCCGGAATGGGCCCTCAAACCAGCACACCAGGGAGTCCCACCCAGGAAGCTGCCTGGCATTGTGGAGCGGCCATGTTGCCCCCCACCAGCAGGCACAGGTGTCTGGAGAGGCACCCAAGGACAGCAGGTGCCCCCAGAGCAGGGCATGCTATTCAGGGTACGGGTTCCAGCCTAAAAACTAGCTCAGTCTCCACAGTGGACATGTGGGCCACCCCAAGTCCCTTCCCCTGGACCTCCAGTGCCCTGGGGGCTTCCTTGTCCTCACAGTTCCTGCACCCCATCCACCCCGCTGGCTCCAGTGGAAGGCATTCACCAGGAGGAGGCTCTGTGCACTCATATGTAAAAAAACTGGTACAAGATTTCCTTAAAAGATGCTTTTTTTAAAAACAAAGAAAGCTGGTCTTAGTGGACCACCATACCTGTAATCCCAGCTGGCCTGGAGGCTGAGGCAGGAGGATCAAAAGCTCAAGGCCAGATGGGACAATTTAGTGAGACCCTGTATCAAAAAGGAAAGGGGGCTGAAGGTGTAGCTCAGCGGTAGAGCACCCCCGGATTGATCCCAGTACAATATAAAAAAAAAAAAGGAAACAGATTTGGAGATCATTTTTGGTTCGTTGGTAGGTTGATTGGTTTTTTGAGACAGCATCTTTCAATATTAGCAAAGCTGGCCTCGAATACATGACCCTCCTGTCTCAGCCTCCCATATGCTGGGATTACAAGCATGTGTTACCATACCTAGCTTGGAAGATGGTCTTATTGGCCTGTTTAGATCCCAAAAGAAGGCAGTATTGCCATGGAGTATCTTTCTTCCACCCAAATGTGAATTCCCCACAGTTCAGCAAATGGTAATCCCAGGAAGGTGGCTGGTGAGCCAGAGCACTGCGGAACAGGTCTACCGACAGGGAGGAGCTTTCCTGTCCCGAGCACACGTGGGCACTGCCCACTCGGAAGGTCTACCTGCACTGGGCTGAGGCTGTGCAAGCCCAGGCCAGGGCCAGCACTGTGGCCGGCTCGAGGCATCCAAGGGGGAAGGTAAGAGGGCCATGCCCGAGCGGGCATGCAGGAGGATGAAGGCCGCAATCACAGCAGTGTAAGGAGGGGACCAGCAGGGCTGGAGGCTCCAGGGAAAGGGAGGGCCTCCAATTGGCCTCTAAAGCTGCTTCCATCCTCAGCAGACTCTGAGGCCTCCTCCCGAGAGAGGCTGGCGTTTCCAGGGTGGCGCAGCCCAGTCTGTGGTCCGGGCAGCTGTGACAGGGCCCTATATTCTCCCACCATGGGCCTTCCTGTCTCCCCTGGTACCCACCTGTGCCATGGGCCAGGCCACCATGCTGCTAGGTGGGGTGTGTGGCCCTTGACCACAGACACATCCGAAGAGGTGGCTGGGGAGCCCAACACACAGCGGGGGCGGGGAGACCTCACTGCCCCAGGCCCTCCTTGCTCCCCACCGCACCCTCAACACACCATGGGCCTGGGCAACTGCTGCGCATATGTGTTGGGACATCACACAGGTGCAGGAAGGAGACTCACCGGGCTCCTTCCGGTCTAGTGTGAAAAAACAGCCACCAAGCAACAGACCTGCCTGGACAGAGCGAGGTCACCCAGGTCCTGAGAAGCTCCAGACGGCTGAAGTGCTGGTCTTAGAGTGCAGGCATCCAGCTACAGAGCCAGCAGCTGGGAGACAGGACAGATGGCACCCCAGAGCCAGAGTCAGGGGCTGCCAGAAAGAGAGAACCCCACCCTTTGGAGGAGTATGGGCCCTAGCTGGGAAGTGCTTTGTGAGGCTTGGGCTGCCAGGCCAACAGACACCTTCCCACCATGGACCAGCCTGTGTCCACTGCACCCTACACTCAGGATGTGGAGGAAGAGGCAGGGACCGGAGGGCACACATTGCCGCTGTCAGGAAAGCGCTAAGTCACCGTCTCGAAACTTTACGTATAGCCGAGCACTGCCCCACACACTTGGGATCCCAGAGACTAATTCCAGATTCAGCCAGTCTGGTCAGTTCAGCCAGACCCCGTCTCAAAGTAAGAATAACAAAGGACAGAGGACGCGGCTCAGCACTGTGGGGTTCAATCCCCAATACTATAAAAAAAAAAATTAAATATGAAGGAAAAGTTACATACCACAAACTTGAAAAACATTTGAAAAGACTTATGTCAGAGAGACCCTTAGAGATTTGTGTGCGAGCAGTATATTTCAGAGGCACAGGTTGAGGTCTGAGAAAGGAGGAGGGAAGGGAATCCCTGTCCCTGGGAGCCTCTCGCACCCACTGGGAACCCTCTGAGTGCAGCAGGGTTCGGAGCCAGCCCTGGACTCCTGGGGCTGGGAGGCTGGTTCCACGGGGAGGTGGTAAGGAAATGTCTAAAGAAGGGTAACCAACACAGATTTCAGTTGCCTGGGAAGCTGAGCGAAATCCTGTCTCAAAATCAAAAGGCTGGGGGATGAAACCGAAGAGCAGTGCCCCAGCCCCACATGTGCGGTCCTGGGTTTGATCCACAGCGTGGGGTGAGAAGAGAAAAACGAACCCTGCGGTACAGGGTTGGCATCGTTGATACCTGTGTGATCTCAGCATGCACAAAACTGAGCCTGTGTCTACACGAACATGTCGGTCACTGTCCCTAGCTCTGCTGCTGGAGGGGGACCCCATAGCACCAAGTGCATACGGACACAGGCGTCA